ACGATAAATTATACAACATATTTATCGAATAATTTTTTGACCCCGTTAAAAAAAATCCTGGATTGGGTTTGTGGGTAGAAAACAACAAATTGGAAATTCTAAGATGCGAAGTTTGTGGGTGAATCTTGTGAATTTGCAGGTTATCTGTGGGTTTCTAAAATATATTAATTAAAAAAAATATTTATCTATGAAATAGTACTGCAGTTTTGAAATATTAAATAATAGTATATGCAAATCAATTACCAAATTTTAGGCTTTTATAAGTGATTATGTATTTATTTTTTATAATATATAATTTTGGTAATTAAATATAATTTTTAATTAAAAAAGTATAATTTGATTTTTTCTTGTTTTTCTAAAATGAACGGAGTTATCCGTGGATCCACAAAATTATGTCGAGGGGATGACATATAATATTCTAAAATTGAATTTTATCAAACGAAACAGAACAGATCAAACAAATTTAAACCTCTCGAGGCAGACCTACCATGACTGCTTGACATACCAACTACCACACAATTAGTCCATACGGTGTAAGACTAAAGACATGCGAGAACATATGATCTTTAGTTTCATATGGTTCACTCATTTTGAAGTTATAGAAACATAAGTAATAGATCATTCATTCATTAAAAAGTGAACTATTTAATTTACAAAAGGAATAGTTTTTTTCTTTTCTTTTTAAATCATCATTTGTCTCTACAGACTATTGTGAAAATATTTATGCAAATGTGATATTTATATATATTAGATGTTTGTTCAAGAACAATCACAATTTGATTCATAAAAAGTTTCGTCTTAAACTATTTATTCAAAAATATCATATTTATGGTTAACAAAATAATAATATCGTAGTTATGCCCCTATAGTAATCTCATATGTACCAGTTGAAATAAAACTTGTTAAATCTTTCTGTTTTTTTTGGTACTGATACTATTTTTCCTATTTATTTTATCCAACCCAACAATAAGTCATACCAATTAGTCTTAAATTACATACTATGCTTAATCTTGGTAAAAAAAGATAATATCTAAATGGTGGATGGAGTTAGTTGTATACTTTTTGGCATTAAGATGAGAATAATTTGCTACTTAAAAATAATCTTTGTAGACTTAGTAATATTATACATCATAATCTTCACATAAATACACAAGTGGGAAATATTGTCAAGTAAAAACCGGTGGTTTAATCCGGTTCGTTTTTCTATTTATTGCATTAGTCTTAATTACGTGCACGAGAACACGAGAGGAAATTTAAGTAAGCAAGGAAGAGTCAACAAAGTTGCCCGCCTAACGCATAACACTTTTGCATCAATTTTAAGCAAAATCTTTAAATTCATAGCTTTCACAAAGAGAGTAGAAACTCTCTCGAAGAAAACTTTAGAGGGTTATGGCGACCAAGAGCGATGATTTTGCACCATTTCCGATTAAAGATCAGCTTCCAGGAGTTGAATATTGTGTCTCGAGTTCTCCAAATTGGCGTACGCTTTTTTCTTCTCATTTAGTTTATGGTTTACTTGTGTGTTATTTGATATATTAGCAGCCGAATTATGTTTCATGTTTATGTTTTAAGAACATGAATTTATGTGTTATCAAAGGTGATGAATGGTAGTACTACCTTGTTCATGTTTTTTCACGTATTCAAAACGTGATTTTACTAGTTTTTATCATTCATGACATTAATTCATCAAACTTTTACATTTTAAAAAAAAAATTATTTACGTGTTAAAAATACTAAATGAATTATTCGGGAGTAGTAGGCGTGAACTCGATCTTCAGGAATTTGATTTTCACATAGATCTATTCCACTTCTATTTGATTAGTCGAAAATATATCATATTTTAGAAATATAAGAACATCTGGAAAACGGATTACTCGATGACTATACTCATTTGGATCATAAGTCTGAGTTTTGGTCCGGATTACCCTGGCCCAAAAAC